TAATTAAACTTATGTGAATATTTAAGTTATGAAAACATGAAACTGTTTAAAACAACTTAAGCAATCCTCAAGATTTTAAAAAATACCATTAAAAAACAAAATGATAGAGATAAAGAAAGACAAAAAGTTGTTTTTGTTGTTGAAAATAGAACAAAGACTTGTGCTAACAGGAACTAGAGATATGAAATACGACAGGGAAGATACATCCTGACAACTCCAGACATGATTCTCATCCTCCCCAAACCACCCTTGAGGTTTAACCATTCTCATAAAAGCTTGATAGCATCCCTCCCATAGTGCTATTGACAAGCGTATGTGTTATCAAGTGTTGTCTTGATACACCTGCAGTGTCTAGTGTCAGGGATGGGGCAGGGGGTGCTCCTACACAGGGAAATATACAACCCTGCAGGATCTCATGGCCATTGTTTGCTTGTCCACTTCAGGCCTGCGGAGAACTCATAGGGTAGGACTGGACACTTAAACACAGACTTGTTTTGAGAACTTATAAGGAATGGAACAATTCATTACCTTTTGCATTGAGTACAATATTGGGGATGCAAAACATAACATTACATGAACGTATAAAATTGTTTTGTTCAATAAATAGAGCAGATTTCATGTTTTTTTCATTACGCAATATAGTTAAGTTCAAATTTAAAGTTTAAATAAAATTGAGAAATAAGTGTCACCAGACATACTTCAAATCATGCAACACAAGATTTGATAATAATATTGCCATTAAACTGATTACAAACATGAAGAACCAAAGATGCCAATTACATAATTACTTCAATAAACAAGCCCAGACATGCCAGACCTGTATTACTGATTGAACTCTACCATCGTATGTTCTTCCAAAATCTACAAAGTCAGGATGAAGTAGACCAACAATACACCTGATAAGCATAAGATCCACCACAGACCATTAACCAATGCTTAAGGCAGAGTTAATCACTCATGTAAACGAGCCCCAACATCTTGTGGTTATGTTGAAAGCATCAGCATGCTCGTCCCATGTGAGGCCCTGCTGGAGGCACTGAAGCAGTCACCTTGAAGACTTGTGTCAATAGCAGTGATGGGATGTCAATACACCACTGACATCTCCATCAGATGCTAGCCAGACATTACACTCCATCCAAATGGTCAAAAGAGGAGGAGGAATGATGGGACCATCGTTGTTTATTTGCATTTTTTACATGCAGGCAGAGAAAAGGCTGCAGTACCACGGGTGGTGTACATAATGCCAACCTGATGCTTGTGTTTCCCTCTTACTTTGTGTGGATTGTAACGCACCGTCCCCTGCCTGCAACATACATGCATGGGATGGGAAGGGAAGGTTGGGGGGTACAAATGTCAGGCCGTGACACATCAATAGTGCCGGTTCAGTGATATGTCTTTCTTCATTGTGTCTGTGACCCTCTCCTTCCACTGCATGTGTATCTTGGCACGTGTAGGAATGGCTAGCTTTCATCTGACTCAGTCACAACCCTCATCATACCTGTTCTCATCTTTCCTATCTCTTCCCATGTTTCCACTTTAAAACTGTGTTTCCATAGGGATCATATTTAGATTTAGGTACATTTCCACATGGAAACCAGGAATAGATAAGGGGTCTTGTAAAAAAATTGTAATTGAAAAAAACTGAAAAGTCAGTTAAGGAGTTTGGGGAAAAAATGTCAGTTTCTTCTTTGCATTGATCTTTAAAGGCATGCAAGTGCAGCATAGATATGGTCAGATCTTGTTTTCTTGATGTAGGAAGTTTACACCGGTGACTGTTTCATTAAGAATTACAAAACTAAGCAGCAGGTTTATGTTGTGTTGAAATTTTTCAATATGATTAATATATAGTTTTTGCTATTGTGGTATTTAGGGCCCATTATTTTGGGATGGGTGCTTATAAGGGTAACTATCAAATAAAGGCTTATGTAACTCATCAAGAACATGAACATGAACATTTCACACTGACCTCCCTGACACTGTATGTGCAACAGAAATCATCAGCTAGAGATGTATAGAGAGTGCTGTTTAAGCTGAACTCAAATCTAAATCAGACTAATCTAACTAATCTGAAAGAAGTCAATGTGCATTCAACGTATGAGCATGTTTCCAGGAGTCAGGGTCCACCCTGGGTCTATCTTTTGTTGAGTCTAGGTAGTGACCAACTGAACATCTACAGCATGGTAGCAAATGGCACACACAACTTCAGTAACATCATATACATAGCATTGTGCATTCTCTGAAGCCCCAAGTTAATTTCCTTGAATAAAAGGATTATTGCATAATGCTCCACGAAGAAACAGTGGCAATGTTCTTCAAAATGTATACAACTGAACTAGTTTTAATGATTAAAACAGACATAATTTTTCATCCAATGGACTGACAGCACATATTACTTGCATTCATTCTCATTTTCCATGCGAATAGGAAGCAATAGTCTGGTAGAACCTTGAAGTTTGAAAGCAAACATTGACAGATCACAGATTCCATACTGTAACTGAAACTGGGGTGGTCGGGTAGCATAGTGGTTAAAGCGTTCGCTCGTCATGCCGAAGACCCGGGTTCGATTCCCGACATGGGTACAATGTGTGAAGCCCATTTCTGGAGTCCCCCGCTGTGATATTGCTGGAATATTGCTAAAAGCAGCATAAAACCATACACACTCACTGTAACTGAACTGCAATAGTATGTTTTAAACAAACTTTAAGAAAAATACTACTTTCTCCAAAATGTCCGAGTTCATTTGAAGGCATTACCATCTATATTTGAAAACAGCTGAAGATGCAGAGTAAAAGTAATTTCAAAAACACTTAGACACCTGTTGCACTCTAACATACCCCATCACCTCATCACAAGCGATAAGCCCCTCCATTAAAGCATTACAACAACATATTACACACAAACCCATATACTACATGACATTAATATACAATGTTTCACACCTTCCCACATAGTGAAACACTTCTACTTTCCATCTATTACTATTGTCTAAATGAACAAGGATCCTGACAGCATTCTGGTCCTAACACAAAGCATCTGCTCATCATTGGCCCGGGGGTACACAGGGATCGACCTGGCAGCCTTGCCAAGTCGGTTGAATGGAGGGTTCACGTCTATTGTTTTGTCAGTGTAGAGTAGACTGATCCCGAGTAATATCAACCACCTGTGGAGGTGGCAACCTTTTCATATTGTAACACACATTTGCAGGAGATTGACTGTAATTTTGCCATTAGTTTCACCCTGTAAACAGGATATTTTTCAAACTTGTGAATTCTCCCTAAAAACTGGCCTGATGTCGCTTTGATGTGTGGGGGTGGGAATGCAGGTAGGAAGTCCCGGAAATGTGGAGGTGTTAGGAGACTGTGGTGAACAATTTGGTCGTAACCATTGCCAGATATTGCTTAATCAAATTCATATTTTTAGTCAAAGTTTTTGTCATGCCTGACAATGGGAAAAGGGCATTCGCAAGTCCATTGACAGTTCTGGAAGTAACTGTGATCACCACATGTGTCAATTATACATAATAGTGATTAAGTGAGTGAGTGAGTGAGTGAGTGAGTTTGGCTTAACACCACATTGAACAGTATTTCAGTTATATCAAGGTATGTGTCAGCTTGATGTAGTATGAAACCCTGAAGTGGTGTCTTAGATGTTTTCCACTTTGGTGAAACCCACGAGCATTAGTGTGGCATGGACAAACAAAACATAATCAGTTCAAATCATATGACCCATGCTCACAGGTTTCTGTCACACCAAGGGAACAAACTCTGCACAGCAAATTATGGCACCTTTGATGACTGGGCAATCCGTTTTCAAAACATGCTCTGAAAAGTAGAACTGAGTCGTCTACTGTCTTGTGCCTTGTCATCCAGTCAGACTAGCCTTGAAGACACAGGGTAAAGATTGGTACACTAACTGTCTTGATTCTAAGCCATAAAACAGCAATGTCCTTTTTGAATACCAAATTCACTTGTGAAGTGTGAGAAAGGCGAACTGATCCAGAATAAAGCCTCTGTTTGAAGGTCATGAACTTGAGCATTCAATGACATGTCAGTCAATCAGCACTGTCAATATGGGAGGAAGTGAAATCCGAAAGCACAGGTAAGGCGATGACAAACCAGGGATGATGGTTCAGGCGAGGCTGGGGGACTGCCTCCGTGGTCTAGTGGTAGAGCATCCGCACAGGGAGTGGAAGGTCCGGGGTTTGATCCCCAGCCGCGTTATACCAAAAGACGTTAAAAAAAGGTACTTGTTGTTACCCTGTCTGGCGCTCATTAAGGGACTAAAACAGGGACTAAAACAGGGACTAAAACAAGGACTTGGAGGCTGTATACTGTGTCTGAGTGGGGTATTCATGTTAAACTGCACAATAATCTTGGACGTGATGTTAAAACCCACCTTACAGTGAGGCTGGGATTCAAACAAACAACCAGCTGGGACACAACTCCATAGAGTCTGCTTATGCTACTGGGCCAACAACCATCAGCCTTAATCATGATAATCTTCATCTAAATACCCTGTTGTTCATAGAGATGATAAATTGATTAAATTGTTCTACCTGGGATCAAGATGTTCCCACTGTCAGCCACTGGTTTGCCTGGCCCAGACCCAAACACACACCACAGCCTGCTGTGACTGAGATGAATATTGCTGTCTGGGGCAATAAATACCATTTCACCAACACCAGAAATCATAGCTAAGCTTGAGACACTGGTGGGTGCAGCTTGAGTGATGACAATATACCCCTTGTTGGGAATCTGGGTTTGGTTAGAATAGGTCTCTAGTAATCAATACTTGTTGTAAGAGGCAACTTAATGGATCCGGCAATCATGCTTGATGACTTTGTTGATTGCATGTCATTTTATCCTGATGGCAGGGGATGATGCTCATAATATCAATCACTGGCTTGTCTGGTCCAGACTTATATACCGGCCAGTGGATATCGCTGGAATAAGGCTAACTGCAATAACACTACAACAAAATAAACAGCTGGCTCTACTCACATCAAGCAACAACTTGACCACCTCAATCTTGCCATACAAAGCTGCTTCATGTAGACATGTGCCGTTCAGTGTCGCTCTATTGATATCCATTCCTGTCTGCAGCAGTAACCTGAAACAGATTCAACAATTCAGTCAAAACTTGTAAGAGTGAGGTTGTATGGTTTTACGCCGCTTTTAGCAATATTCCAGCAATATCACAGCGGGGGACACCAGAAATGGGCTTCACACAATGTACACATGTCAGGAATCGAAACCGGGTCTTCGTCGTGACGAGCGAACGTTTTAACCACTAGGCTTCCCGACCGCCCCAAAACTCGTAAGAATAGATTATCTTGCACTGTGTTGTGTACACATGAAAAGCAAACTATTATACAATGTAGTCAATATGACAGTTTAATGGCATCTATACAGAAACAAAAAGGGTGGGAAAATGGTAGTCCATGATCTGTGGAAATAGCAGAGGGCATGCCGTTATTGGAAGTCAGTAGCCCTGTAACCCAGTACCCCAGTCATTAGCCTTTTCCTGTACCTACATGTATGATAAAGTTCATCGACATGTCTGCTATTCATTCCAGCATTACACAGAGAAACAAACACAAGTTGGAAATAAAAAAGATTTGATCTAGTGTTGAGCCAGTGCTATCAAAGAATTATGCTTCGAGTAGTGAGTGAGTTTGGTTTTATGCTGCTTTTAGCAATACTTCAGTCATATAACAGTGAGGGACACCAGAAACGGGCTTCACACATTGTACCCATGTGTGGAATCAAAACCAGACCTTCGTCATGACAAGCAAACACTTAAACCACTAGGCTACCCCACCAGTCCTGCCTGGAGTTGTTCTTCACAATTAACTCCCATTTATCAACACAATTTTAAAATTTACTTCAATTGTTTCAAATGAAAACTATAGCGAGTGAGTGAGTATGGTTATACGCCACTTTTAGCAATATTCCAGCAATATCACGGTGGGGGACACCAGAAATGGGCTTCACACAGTTGTACCCATGTCGGAAATCGAACCCGGGTCTTCGGCGTGATAAGCGAATGCTTTAACCACTACGCTACCCGACCGCCCCTAATGAAAACTGTAACAGAACTAACCTAAGATATCTTAGCTATTGTAATGGGAAACACTCATAGGATGCCATACAATTTACCCCATCTGGTTAATGAACCATTTTTCAGGAATTCCACACCAAAATTTCAAAGAGAAAACCCCATGTGCATTTCTAGCAGTTAAGACAGGTGTATGCAGCCTTCTTCCTCTAACGTCAGGTTATGACATCCATTACGAGCCAATCAAAACATCCTCTCTTTGCTCCACTTACTGTAATGCCTTAATGTCAATATTCAATAGGAGAGTGTTTGCCAAAAAAAAGTCTCCTGGGTGAACTTCTTTCAGCCAATTTGAGCCTGACCTTTTTATCGAAAGGAAATAATAAACATAGATATCCGAGGCAGGAAAAAGGATGCTCTACAAAAAAACAGGCTGTTGAGGAAGGCTATATGGAGCTTGTGATATCCTATCTATAGTGCTGGCCACGATAAGGCCTGCAGGATATGACATAAGCTGTGCAACAGCAGGAGCAACTGTACTTGCAGCGACAGCAAAGCTGACGGGGTCGTCAGGACAGTAGGCCTGGGACGGGTAACTCGGGTGAGGTGGGTACTGAGTAGGACCCGGGTACCCACAGGACTACACGGACCCGTTGTTGGTCATGTGATATATTGTTTCATGACAAAATTTCACTATGTAACTACATGGTTACACGACAATTCTAAGTCTCTCATGTTCGCATTTCTTCATGACTATGAACACGTTCCATCTGACTTATATATGTTTGAACAAAGCTAAAACTTGAGTCAATTTCAGTGTATGCCTGACCACATCGTTTAATATGTGTATCTAAATACAGGGCTGCTGTCAAACTATTCCCAATTGGACATTTTGTAACTATCTCTTGACACCAACAGCGGGTACCCGGGTACGGTCGGGTAATAGGGGTGTGGGTACCCAGGTAGTAAATTTGGACTCATCCCAGCCCTACAGGACAGGTACTAAAAGAACTACATCGGGTACATATCTGTATGCAGATATATACCCAATGGAAAGTTTTTATTCAAATATGGACTTAATATGAATTAAGTCCCCTTTTTTAATGCTTTGGGTTGGCTGGTGAGTTAGGGAAAGGGTAAGCTGTATCAACTCTATCCATGAATGTTTTCTACGGGCAGACCAACACACATGAATTATATATCAACAGCATTACAGGTTATGCCGTGAATGAGAACAAATAAGAAGGTATTAATGTCCACAGTTTGGTGGCTGGGGTCAGTTGTTCAGTATTCGATCAACCTTCAAGACAGATATCAGCACATGAAACTCCCTTTACTCCTTCAGCGTGTCACAACTGTCAGTCAGTACTGTGAGGCCTACCATGGGAATCACTGCAGCCCCAACTCTACCAGGAGAACAAGATGTGATACGTCCAGAGCTCCAGATAACTATTTGGGCAATTGAGTTTTTACTCTAGGGTTTCTATTTTAATTGGTTTATTACATTTTCCATTGGGTAACCAATATTTTTTAAATCCAAAAGAGTGAACATTTTAAGATTTGATAAAAATGAGATAATGTTTTAGATGATAACCATGATAACTGTTCCAAATATATAGGCTTGACTCAGAAAGTAAATTAGCTTGTAATTTTGTTTCGGAAATTAGCTCCTTTTCACACTTGCTGAAAAATCTTCATTGGATATTTACGTGTGCTGTTTTTATACATTTGAGTTTTTCATTAACGCATACGTTGATTGTAATTGGGTTTTGAATATTTTGCTGGGGTGTTTCCCGCAAATACGCTGCTTATCTGCTTATCACAAGATGTGGGATTCAACCACATTCTTCTCAGAGGGCCTGTGCTAATTGATCCTTGTTATAAGGGCAACCTTGTCATGCTCTATTTGAAGCCTCTGTGCCAACAACGACCCCATCAGAGAAAGTGACACCAGAGTGAGTGAGTGGGTTGAGTTTTATTCTGCTTTTAGCAATATTCCCGCCATATCATGTCCAAGTATGGGCTTCAGACATTGTAACCATGCGGAGAATCAAACCTAATAGAAGGAACTGTGGCGTATTGAATGACTGGGACAACCGTACCAACTAACCAAATATGTACACCCATAAGATTACTGTCGTATCAGCACAAAGTCAACCTCACCTATCTTTATAAGTATAACCATGTCTTTCACCAGTTCAAGGCCCCCACTGTTTAATAACCACATATCTAATACTTCATCATGCTCCATACCATTATACTTATCCTACATTGACTGACATACTTCACTGATACCTACATACACTTGTTCACCTAACATATAGCAGAGCCAGTGCCACCCAGGCGGGGTTCCAGCATAACGGTATGTCTAACACATTAGCACAGTCTTGGTGGATCCACACCTGATAGTTAGTTCAGAGGCCAGTCGAGGAAACTGGAACTGAAGATAGCTTTACGACTGATATGCTTCACGGCCTTTGAGCCTATCTGCCTCTAATGGTGACAAGATGATATTAAACACTTTCAAACTGACCATTACCAGATATCTTGAAGACCAACAGATGTACATGGGCGTTTTTCCTCTAGTTCACTACTCTGTGATAAAGCATCGCATGTGATAAATGCCTCCTATTAATAATATGGCAGATTTCTTGAGGATTTTACATGATTTCTAATCTGGAAGAGGTTGCCATGTCGATCCATGCAATTACCTACCAAGTGTTTGAAACTTAAGATGAAAGACTGGTCCTTGCCACCAACCTGATGAACGACCCCTAACACTAGAAACCTACTCGGCTTGTACAAGCTGTGTGTGGTCATATTTAATAAGGTTCAGTGAGTCAGTGAATGTTTTGGTTTTTTTCAATTTGGCAAGATTTCTTCTATATCAAGGTGGCCCTTAAATACTGAGGGTTGGCAAAGTAGAAGAGTGGGCTGATAATGAGCAATAATCCTTGACATAATGTCTGCCAAAACAAAGTATCAAAATCAGAAATATTTATTTTTAGATAATTATTAAAGCCGGGACCGATTTAAAGATGATAACATTTGTTATTTCATCAGCTATAATGGGCAGTGAGTGAACGTTCATCAACACATGGAATCTCCACCCACACCTCCACCCACCCATCTCCAGCAGCAGATATTATCTACACCTGATCAGAGTCCGATGTCCGGCCCCAAATCTGCAGCAAATGTCAGTAATAATTGCCAAATGTGAATCATACATTTCTAAATAAAAGTTAATAGGGTTATATCTATTGTGATCGCATGGTCCAGGTGACTTTCATTTCGCTGATAACAGGACCAATAAAGAGGTAGGGGCTTAAATGCAGAAATTTACATTATTGCATTGAATAGTATGTAAATACCTCCTAAGTTAAGAAAAGTTGTTTTTTTAAATATCCCCAATTAAAAAAACAACAACATTTTTTTCCAATCTGCTGGCCAATAGCACTTAAGTTTGGAATCCTAGATAAATAAATCCCTTGGGGCGAGTTTCTGGAAGAATCAATTTGAATACTGTGAATGACTGTGGCACCAAGTATCTACTACGTACGTGATGATGTCCACATGGCCGTTCCTGGCAGCAAGGTGCATGCATGTCGTCTGGTTGTTGTCTCCCAGATCCTTCTCATTCACCTCCAGCAGCTTCAGACACAGGTTGTTCCGCAACAGCATCTCCACCACCTGCAACAACACCACACACGTCAGTCAAACAACGCTTGTAATAATGTCAAAGTGATGACAACTGTATAAACTATTACTACTATTAAAAGACTGATTCACAAATTGTAACTGAACATGAATTCAGGTGGACCTAGAAAAAGCATCACATTAAGGCCATGAGAAATTCCATTCTAGTCCATCAATGCAGTATCAACACTAAGTGTACGCTGCCAGCCATCTCATGATAAACATAAATGTTTATATGCTGTAAATGAAATAACATGTAATACCTCTATGTATAATGTACATCATGTATATCTACCTTTCATGTCTATAATTATATACATGTCCATATGTAGAGAGTTTGTACCCTGCCCTACGAGGGTGTTCTGTACAATAAAAATTCTTGATTCTTGATTCTTAATTAAAACGCATGTTACACTAGCTACCAGGGTATCAACAATGAAAGGCAGTGTTCCTGTCAACAAAATCACAATAAACAACAGTTGTACAACTATTGCCTATTTGTTGTTTAAAGCAGCACTCAGTGGTCTGTAAATGATAAAATCTGGACCAGACAATCCAGTGATTGACATCATGAGCATTAATCTGCGCAATTGGGATACACAGACACTGCAATCAACCATGCCTCAGTGCCAGTCTTTCTGATCCATTTAGTAACCTCTTACGAAAAGCATAGGTTGCTGGGGACCTATATTCTTACCTGGAATACAAACAGATTTAATGTAAACGCATTTCCATTTTGTGGTTTAAAGATATTTGCTTTCCAATTAGCTGGGGTCAGTTGAAATAAATAAAAAAAGGTTCAAAGTATGAAAAGGGCAATATTAAGAAAAGAGGAAAATCTTTACAAATCATTATGAAAGTTATAAAATGTGTTCATACATGAATGAGAATTAAACTTTGTTCATTACAAATTTTATCTTGGGTCACAAACTTGCTCATACTTTAAAAAAAGTCTGACATTTTTAATACAAATATTTGAGCTTTTTCTTCAAAACTTGACATTTTCAGGGGGCAAAAAGTGCTTTTATCCTAGCCTCATCCTTTGTGCTGGTAAATAATATTTGGTTTGTTTGGTATGAGATTGTTTGGGTGGTGTGTTAAAACAGACAAAATGTACACTTAAACCGTCCCTATGTTGCAGTGTCTAGTATTTGTAAAGTTCCAAGTACATGACCCATGGAGGTTTGGGTTAGGACAGATCTTCAGGAACCCATGCTTGGTTAGAACAGGTCTTCAGCAACCCATGCTTGCCGCAAAAGGCAATTATGTTTGTCGTAAGAGGCGACTAACGGTATGGTAATGGTCAGACTCGCTGACTTGGTTGATGCATGTCATCGTGTCCCAATTGTGTGGATCGATGCTCATGATGTCAATCACTTGATTGTCTGGTCCAGACTCGATTATTTGCCTCATATAGCTGGAACATAGCTGAGTGCGGCGTTAAACAACAAACAAAACATGTATGTATTTACTTCTGAAAGAGTTTGGTTCTCTTCATGAGATGTCAGTTGTCTTTAGAAAGTTTTTAAGTACTTTGATTTTTAATTTCACTTTTCAGTATCCTTGAAATGAATCCCAAAACGTACACACACAAACATGACAAATGTTTATCATCAGCCATACAAAACCAAATCATAAATCATTCCTATCATGACACCACCATATCATTTTAAGAAAACAGGCTTCCAACATCAAACTCCTCTGTAAGAAACTCACTGAGCTGTACATATCAATATCTCAGCTTCATAGGCACAGACAACATAAACTCACTCAATTTCTCTTCCTTAAAAATATACTGTCATCTACAACAACATGGTTAAAAAGAAGATTTATTGCTGCAAAATGTCGCAGCATTCCTGAGTGACAGATGAATGAGCTCCATCAGTGTTAAGCCTTTTCACAGAGTGATGTTTATAAACAATACTCAAGGTTTTGTTTACTTTCCATCGCCCAACATTTCACTCTCAGGGAGAATCATCCTGCAAGAATCAACTTTCTTGTCTTCCAACAGATTCTCAGACAAGATTAAGCTGTTTTGGTTTCTTAAATGACATTTCCGGATTGTTCGACTGTGTCATGATCATATTAAAACTACATTTCAAAATCAGATATTAATTACCGGATACATCTAAAAAATTCTGTTAATAGGACTGGGCAGAGAACAAATCCATCACCACTGAAAGCCATGATGAATTTCTATTTACCAGAGCTCAGAGTCATTATTTAAAGATGTTTTCTACATTTTTTCGACTTTATCTTTTTCAATAGATTTTTGTTTGTTTGTTTGCTGTTAAACACCACAGTCAGCAGTATTCTGGCTGTATCATGGCAGCCAGTAAATAACTGATTGTGGGCAAGACAAAATTTTCAACAGAAAAGCAACAACAAACATCACCTCCTGCACACCCATATCACATTTGTTAGTACCTACAGGTCCTAATATACTTTGAGTTTTTATTTATCAAATCTTGCATAAGAATCTCCAGTCTTACTCTATACTACTTCATGTAATTTCATGAACATTACTCCATACTGTATACAGTTGAACCTCGCTTATCCAGACAAATGCGTTTTTCAAATATTGTGAATTTCACTGTTCAGATCCATAAAACAGATTTTCTGATATAAGAAGCATATTATGTATCATTTAATTTATATCCCATAAATATAGTCCATTAGGCAAAGTTTCCATTCATAAGTGGGTTCCTTTGTACTCCAGTACAGTGTGTGAAATAGTCGCCTACTCGGTAGCCCATGGCTCTCAAAATTTTGGCTTGACTTGAAGGTTCTATAAATGTCCCAAGCCTGACAGGCTACTGAGTATTTTAATAATCTCTTAGTTAATTCAAATACAAAAAGTCCTCCCATTTCTGTAGATGAATATGACCATCAAACATATTTTTAAAATAAGAACATCTGTGACAAATCAATGTTGTGATATCAGAGTTATGGTAGCCTTGACTGTTGTCACTGTAGCACTGTGTTTTACAAACATGTTTTGATTGGTTGCAACTTGTAGTTTGATGGTTGTAATATGTAGTTTAACCAATCACAAGCTGTGTCCCTTAATAAACTGTCACATTAACAAGCTAGTGAAATTGAAACTGACTAGTAACTTTTAAGGCTTTTAAAGCCCACCTGGCTAACAATATGTTTAGACTTTTTCACACACATAAGGTGTATATATGTGTTTTAGAATCCTTCTGAGACTGCACTGAAACCAATGTGTAACCTATTTCAATCAACAAGTGTCAGTTCAGACGAAATGTTCTTTGCCAATTTACCTATCTTGCTTGGGAAGAAATCTAAATAGCTCCTGTTACTGGCATTGACCTGCAAGGAACTTGACAGCTTACATCGCCGGGCCACCATTGCAGGTAGACCGTGTGATGATGGGAGGAAATGAACGTTCTTGCTGATGTAGCCATCTTGCTTGATATGAAATCTAAATAGCTTCTGTTAGGGGCATTGACCTGCTGTGAGCATGGCTGGGGCCACCACTGCAGGTAGACTGCATGAGGATGGAGGGATGGACACAGACAGGTGGTCCAGTCCACATACTTCTGTCCATCACTGACAGGCTGACCCTTGGGAAGCTGATTAGTTTGTTTATGTGTTTTATCTCCACCTCAGGATACACAACTATAGTGTTCAAGTCAAGGTGAATCTGTCACAAGAGTGGATTATTTGCCCCAAAAGGGTGGGTGTGGAGGTCGTCTTAGGTAAAGGGGAGGTAACTAGTCTAACAAGGTTATCTCCCTTGTTAAGCTAGCTTAGGTGTCATTACCCTATCATCCATGTTTTTTGTGCCATATCTAACACAGGTTCTCTCCAGAATCAGTACATCAATCACTGTGTCGGCAAGTCACTGCTGAACATACAGCAAACACATGCCACATCACCCGAATGAATACATTTGTTGTCATATTCATGTGACCACATATTTGCAGTCTATTATGAAACTTATCAGGGCTTTGGTGCATTGCCATACCTTGTGGGCATTTCTAAGATACAAAATGATGAAGTGTATCAGGAGGACATGTAAAACTGTTAAATTTATTGTGACATACTTTTCTGAAAGATTGTACATAGTTTTCAAGCCAGTGCTATACTTCTAATTTACTCAAAGTTGCTTCATATATTTTGGTTGGGCCACTTTTAATACATCTTCTTAACATGACAGGTGCCAGATCTTGTGCAGCAGATTGTAGATGACATTGTGACCTATCTATCAAGATTCATATCGTATCACAAGGAAGCCCTTCTTTACAACCGCAGTCAGTCATATTTTGCTGGGGTCTGTAGGTGTCTCACAAATGCCATTATGACCACATTATAATCAGCTCCTCAACACACAAGCATGGAGACCTATATATCTTTAGAATCCCCATGAGTGTCAGGACCAGATCTGTTCTTCAGTTGAACGAGTGAGTGAGTTTGGTTCAATGCCGATTTGAACTTTTTTCAGTTATATCACAGCAAGTCAGTTTGATGCAAGCAATGCCGATCTGGAGATACCCACAAGCATGGGTATATGCTGCTGACAAACCTAGAAATATAATCAGGAAAAACATGGGATTCGAACCCAAGTTTTCAACATGAAAGTGAATTATGGTGTCTATCCATGCCTTGGCAACTGTTTTTAAAAAGAAACAGCTACTGCCACAAAAACCGGTTCATACTTTAGCATCTTCAACATTCTTTATCATCAACATTAACATTATTTCATTTCAGTGATAGTTCCATACTCTTAAACTATCTCAGTACTTCAAGTATCAATTTTGAAACATTAAAGGATAAAATATATACATCTTGAGCCCAGAAAGCATGTCTTGATCAGCAATGGAGATGGTATTATCACCATCAAATCATAAGTGATGGTGTTGATAAATCTCTGAGGATCATAATGTTATACACTCGTCTGGTGTCAGTCCCCCACAGTATACTTGACCTACAATGTTGGAGTACCAAGCATCTGTGTGTCTCTACAGCCAGCAGTATCAGGACACCATACCATATGCATCAGCTCATATACTAAAGGGCAGTCAGTGTATTCAAGGTTACCCACCCTTCAGGAAAACGCGTTATTTTAACCTTGTACGGCTCATTTATTACTTTAAATTTGATTTTAATTTTCTGTTACAAGTTTCATTCTAATTTGAATGTATGTGTATAACACTGATTACATTTTTTTTTAACAAATAAAAACAATTTACGCATATCGTATCTACTGGGTTTACTTACTTCATTGAGGACATATAACTGGTTATTTTTAACAGCTTCCTTAATGTTTGTAACAGCAATTCAGGGTTACTTCTTGCCCCTTCACCAGATAAAAAATAATTATTTTTTTAATAACAATTAAGAGGCTGAAGCAGCACTCAAACACTGTTGAAAACAATAAAGATATAGTTATCCATAACGAGTTTCATGTCTTCAATTTGCCATTGGCATCAAATATGTATCTAATCATTCATAATGGAAATAGAACTTCTGACAGGCTCATATCTTCAAGAACCTTGTGTCCACAACTTTGGTCTGCACCATGGCCTGAAGAGGCCACAATTGTGTTTTCAAAGGCATTTTAAATGCCTGGGTGGGATTTATTTTAACCATACACAAACAGTAACATCTCATATTTTAGTTTCCATGGTCACAGTTTTTGCTTAGTTGCTACTTGGAGGTGAAAAAGCGAGGAATGTTGTATCTGCCTTGTATCTAATAGGAAGAAAATAGCTGATGATTTTGTAAAAGAAGATTTATTTTTGATTGTTTTATAAAATAATAATGTCCATGGAGATTTACTAGTGCATCTAACAACACGTACCCGGTATCTCCCGAACTCGCAGGCCAGGTCCAGCGGTGTCTTCTGCTCCTTGGTGGCCATGATGGGGTCGGCATGGTGAAGCAACAACAGATTGGTCTGCAAGGCAAGCAACACACTTCTCAGTACTGCTTGCACAACAAGCGTGGATACAGCTTTTTGAAATGAAATATCTATTCTGAGATCACAAATAAATATACAAGTGTTAGATGCAAGCAAATACTCGCAAAGCAAAAAGCATTTGACAGATATAGTATGTTAGTTGAAACCATATCCCCAAAGTTAGTCATAATGTGGACAACATTAACATTTAATAAAAATATCACCTATAAAAATGTGAAATGTCTAGCTTTCTTCACCTCCCCACTCAACAGCACAGCCAAATCTGGATCTATGTATGTTTTATTATACAATACCTACCATCCAATTGGAGAAATAGGGCATCTATTTGTGGATATGAGATTACAATATGTCAGAATAATTTGTCTTGTAAAATCATTTATAAAAAGGAAACTTTCTTTAATAATTTCAGCAACATTATTTAATAAAAAATATTATGTATGAATATTTAATCTACGATAAGTTCAACCGAGGATTTCACCCTCGAGTCTTCAGATAGTCATGAACCAGTCAAGATCCACACATTGTGCCAGCACCAGACAGCAGTTAGTGAAGCAGACACTCCCGCTGACCTGTTGACTCTATAGATGACCTGATGGCACTTCAGACTGACCTGACTAAAGGTTGTCAAGGCCTGACACTGTAGGTGTCTGTCTGCAGGCTGTGAATGCACATGTTCCTCTCAGAACACCTGGGCCGGCATTCCTTGTTTACAGGCACACATCTCACAGAGGCTGCGCTGTATAAGCATGATGCAGTCACCAGCGCTCATAACAGGCAGTAGGGTAGCCTAGTGGGCTCATCTCTCCAAAGCCCTGGGTTTGATTCCCCACATGGGTGCAACGTGTCAAGATCATTTCTGTGACCCCCTTCTGCGATATTGTGATACAGGGGCATAACACCATACTCACTCACGATAAGCTGAATAGTTAATACTTTAGAAACGTATGCATGAATGAATGGTTTTGTGCCCCAGCCTTATCACAGCGGTCTTCAATAAATGAACCTTGGCCAGTTGACTGCATGAGCAATATTCCCTGCCCTCAGGGTACAATGTCATAATCAGCCAGTTCGCACACTGTAATCACGCAAATTTCAAAAGTCGGCCTTAAAACCGAAAACTGTGTAACCATCAGTATAATATCACTTTTTCATCACTATATAACATTTTCATTTTCCATTAAGAAATGTGACCATCTCCAAGTTATGCTACTGAATGTTCGCAAGGAAATCTCTTGTTTAATTTTTTGCTTTTATGATTCTGTTTTTGAATGCAGAGGTTATTCTAAAATATATCAATGAAGCACTTGATAGGCACTTAGAAGTTGTTATCCATAAAAATGTGTCATGTATTTATGTCAATGTGTCAAAAAAACACAAGAAAGAATCTAAAGTAGTTAGCAATAATATTCTGTGATAAGTGATCAATCGAAGTTAGATAAGAGTTAATGATTTCACAAAATGGCCAATTTTTGGTGAATGCAGTAGTATTACGCAGACAGTGAGGTGAGGTGAGGTGAGGTGAAATGGGATTGAATTTTCAAAGCGACTTGCATGCATGTGCAAGTGAGCGTACTAGTGCAGAATAATGCCAATCAGGCAGGGTAACAACAAGTACCATCTTTTAACGTCTCTTGGTATGACGCGGTAGGAGCTCAAACCCGGACTTCCGCTCTCCGGGAGGACACTCTACCACTAGACCACAGAGGCAGTCCGCAGACAGTGAGTCAGTATAACCCCTTAAACTATCCCTGCTATAAATCACATAACAGTTGTAATCTACTAACCCATTTCTACAAAGGAACATCACCATGTTTTTACACACTGGAAACCCAAATATTGAAGCAAGCTGTCAAGCCAGCTATCTAAACAGAAGCCAGCACTCATCAACTGGAGGTTACCCTGAAGCTCTCTCCACCCTGCCCCATCCCCTCAGAGCAGGATTACCATGATCGGTGGAGTACCCTGAACCACTTCAAGTCCAACAGCAGTAATCCCACCAAAGGACATGGCACTCTGATTTGGGTTTTGATCTCTCTGTTTACACCTCAATCGGCAAAGAGTTACTTCGGGCAGGGGGGAGAACTTTGATTGTTGGAAGTATGTGCATGACTCCAGTGATGATGGAGATGTGACATATCATCTGATAGGTTACCTCACTCTGGGCCGCACTTTCCAGAAGTCATATTTCACTGAACAGGTCTTAAAGGGGGATTGTGCTCCACAGTTTACAGAGACAGCCAAATAGCTTAAGCCTAGGTTGCCTTTAAATCAAGGTCAGTTCTGTGGCTAACAATGAGCATATATTTTATAATCTACTTCATCCTCATACCAACGTCTTGAATGCCTGAGACCAAACTACTAAATCTACACATCACACACAGATTGGTGAGCAATGAGTGCATGTTGTTTCACACTGTCATACACTGTAACCTACCGATCTTAATGTCTCTGCTGAGGGCAAGCAAGAGATGCTGGTGACAGGTTCTTCCCCTCAATCCCCAAGATCTTATACCTTAATAAACACCTCATCCTTGTAGTGTCCTTCATATATAGCGATCAGAAGGACACAAAGAGGAGCTGCAGAGGAGGGCTAGTCCTATGAGTTAGCTAGCAAGTCAGTGAATGTTGTTTGACAGCAATCATACAGCAATACAATGGAAGACCTGTATATCTGGGTCTATCAAACCGGCAGTTTAACATGAATACCCCACTCAGACATACCCCCCTGTTTTAGCCTCTTAATGCCGAGCGCCAGACAGGGTAACAACAAGTACCATCTGTTAACGTCTTTTGGTATGATGCGGCCGGGGATCGAACCCTGGACCTTCACTCTCCGGGCAGACGCTCTACCCCTAGACCATGGAAGCGGTCTAGTATAAGAGGTAGTAGGATCCTATTCTATATAAATCATCAATATGAGTACTCACCACATCGACATGGCCATGTTGACAAGCCAGACTGAGGGGTGACTCCCCATTCTCTGCCTGCAGGTTGACCGGAGACCCTTTCTGCAGCAGGATGTGGACTGGTTGCGACTTCCCTTGCCATGTTGCATAGTGCAGGGGAATCATACCTATCAACACAATCAACAGCAACAAACTATCAGACCAAGAAACTGTTATTTAAGGGGTGTGAATCATTTTGCTATTGAAACACTGCCATTTTGTTGAGTCTAGTGGTCCCTCATATCTTTCTGAGGCAAGGGAGTTAAGTGACAAAAATCCAGTTTCCACCCTTGGAATCATGGAGCTATATTTTGGCTGGACTAATGAGTCTATGATAGATATTTTCCAAATCTTTTTATGTTTTTAAACAAGGAGATAAAGTGATTTGATGCACTTTGCGAAGTAAGGCCATTTTTATTACAATATAGAGTTTGATTATTGATCAGATCGTCTTGACTGAGCACCGTTATTTTGTTTGAAGCAAATGTAAGTGATATGAAAGGTGGAATCTGATTGGTCAATAGAAGGGACATTACTCGTAAAAGCCACTGCCATGGTGACACTATGATAGAGCTCAGAAATTTGAGCCTAGTTCAGCAAGGGTGGAAACAGGATTTTTATAGTCAGTTAACTCCCTTGCCTAGGGAAGATAACAAGCAGATCCTGTTGGCGCAATAGGATCCTTATCCTACCTCGGTCTTCATGTTCCAGTAATGTTAATCTGTGTTTCAGGGACAAGCCTGTGACATTTATCCATCTCTGATACATCCCAAAATGAACAATTTACAACTACTAAGAGCTATATATTTCATTGTTCAGTTTACTGACATACAGAAGCTTTCACATTCATAAAAGGTCCACGTGGTCACCCTAATGATTAATCTTACTAAAACACAACCGGGCAAAGTTTTTTTGTTTTGTCTAAAAGCGGTGGTTCTATTCTGATATAAGAATCAGAGTACTGAATTGCCTACCTTAATCAACAGAACATGGCTGAACCAAATTCAATACATGATGCTGCAGTGATAATGACATCATATTTGAGTGACATTTTTATCACATGGTATATGATATGACAGCAAATTGACAAAAAAACAGACATATGAACATTTCAAACAAGTTCTTATCAACAAGCTGTTTTGGATTTCAAACAGATTGTGAAATACTATGAGGCGAGTTAATGTTTCAGGTCTAAGTTTATACTAAAAGTTACATTAATCAATCTGTGAAATATCTAAATGGGCTGAAGAGGATATCATACGCACTTCATATGAAATTTGTAAAAAAAAAAACCTTTTTATTTTAATTTAATTTATATTTTCGTAATCTACAACCACAAACCCAAAGTCTGAAATGCCTAACTAAAGCAGCTTTATCATGTCATATTATACAAAAAATTAAACATCAAGATTTAATTTACTATTTTCCAACATATACAACATTTCAATTTATATCCTAACTTCCACAAGGATAAACCTTGCCCTTTAATGGTGCAAAAAGCATGCAAACCTCGGAAAGCATATTACATAAACGATTTGGAACTGCCCTGTCAGAAATATGAGGAATCATATCTATGAATGTTTTTTCTCCCTCACACACACAAACTAAGATAACCTCCCTTTAATCTCTGGCACAGGAAGTGGGTATCTGGTCACATATCCTCCATCAAACCCTCCCCCGCCCCCACATGTGAGTCACACCTACATCCCTGGCACTATTACAGAACAAGCTACTTTGATCCCTCATTTTTACATATCCTATTCAAAACAACTATAATAGAAGGTAAAACGAGCCTGGTTAAATGTCAAAGGCTTTAATCATCATTATTGATTAGTTCTGGTGTTGTCAATCTCATATCAAATTAGTTTTTTACTACTGACAAAAATGACTTTTAGAATGAGTCATGTTAGACTTGCTACTGATTATTTACAGGTGGGACCATGTACCTCAAGTAACAAGACAACATGTTCCTTTATCAAAGGGAGGCAATTCTTGCCTCGAATCTTATTGCTGACATGGTCCAACATAAACCATAAAATCCTCTCACAATTTCATGTCTATTGACATGATGCAGAATACTATCATGGAGATAAGACTCTTGTTTTCTTCTTAAACTATTGTCTAACAATAATCACTCTGAAAAAACAGTGTTCTTCATGGACATAATATTTTACCCAAACTGTTCATATAAGGTCAGATGTATATCACAAGACAAGATAATACTGGCTGCCCATGGGGAAATTCTTCATACCTCAGGAGTGAGACACATGCTAGCACAACATATGAAGACAGTAACAACATAAAGATTTGAGACTTCTTAATATAAGCCAATCAGCAAAATAGGACAAGGTAGTGATTTAGCACTTCCTTGTAAGTAATTCTTTGTTCAATTGTAACATAAACAAATAGTATCATGATACAGAACAGTTTTTTTTTAGTTCAGCTAGTGTTACCTTTGTTGTCTTGGAGTAAGGTATTGGTGACACTGATATTTGACCTCAGTTAGTGTTACTACTGTTGTCTTTGAGTAAAGTATAGGTTATATTGATATTGATACAACTCTACAAATTTTACCTTTGTTGTCACGGAGTTCCGTGGAGGCTCCGCTATCCACCAGTAGCTGAATGACGTCAGTATTGCCCATGAGCGCCGCCTGGTGGAGTGCGGACATGCTGCAAAGACAGATGGAACATACTAAATAATTGACTTCTTCTGTATAATCACAGTTTTCACAACAAACTTCTTGACATATATATATATATAACATTCATATGTTCTATCATAACCAGTACTATTAAGTCCCACAATCAGAACACTCTCCAAAAGATAGTGGTGACAGTTATGTCTGATGAACAATACTGAAACTGTTTGACATCACAAAAAATGTGGGAATACGGCATGGGCATCTATCCATCAACTGAAAACAAAGAGAATCCAACCCAATCCACTCCATATATGTACAGGGGGCACGGGTGGCCCAGTCGTCTAAGGCGTCGCGATTCGCTGTGCAGAGTTGCGTCCCTTGGGCCACCAGAAACCTATGATTGTGGGTTCGAATCCCGGTTCGCCCCAATTATGTTTCTAGGTTAGTCAGCACCGTACCCGTGCTCGTGGGTTTCATCGAAGTGGTAGACGCCTGAGACCTGCATCACTTCGGGCTTTCCTCCCGCATTAAGCTGACACGCCGGGATATAACTGGAATACTGTTAAAAGCGGCATTAAACCCAACTCACTCACTCACCATATATGTACATGATGTAAAGTTGACTTTCAAATGAAATGAAGAAAACTATTCCCAATACAATCTAATCCATTCCATTCACTGAACATCCTCTATTCTCCAGTGTATCATATCTCCATTTTATCATGACAAATACCCTGGATCCATCTGCCACCATAGCACCAACTCCATTAACCAATCCAAATGATTTTGAACAAAACTTGGTATAGTTGGTTGGTTGGTTTGGTTGTTTAACGCCGCACTCAGCAATATTACAGCTATATGACGGCGGTCTATAAATAATTGAGTCTGGACCAGACAATCCAGTGATTGACATCATGAGCATTGATCCACGTAATTGGGATTGATGACATGCATCAACCAAGTCAGCGAGCCTGACCACCCGATCCCGTTAGTCGCCTTTTACGACAAGCATAAACTTTGTATAGATTAACATTCATTGTTGCATGCCCTGTCATTGATAAAGTATTACCTGTGAAGAAAATGTTTTTCTGATTATTAAGATAGGGAGAGGAAAGTCCCTATGCTTTTCCCAGCTGCTGGCAGCAAGACAAAAACCAGTGTAATTTGATTGGTAGGTTATGGAAAGATTTATGTTTGTTTGCTTGTTGCTTAACACCCCACTCAGCAATATTCCAGCATTATGACGAGTCTGGACCAAACAATCCAGTGGTTGACATCACGAGCATCAATCTACGCAATTGGGATATGATGGCATACATCAACCAAGTCAGCGAGTCTGACCTCCCAATCCATATAGTCACCTCTTACGACAAGCATAGTGTCCATTTTGACAAGCATGGTCACTGAAGACCAGCTTCATGTCATTCAAATAGGACGAAACTATGGCAGTGAATGGGTCCAGGGTATTTATTATATCAGAAGTGAGATAATATACCCTGGATAATTGAGGATGATCACAATTGAAACAATCCTGTACCATACTTTGATAAAATGTTTGCAATGTCACAAACATGCAATCCTATAACCTTCAATGTATTGTGACCAGAAACATGGACATGTGCTCTACCATACAACCATTGATCCTCAGGACATGCATGACAAGTAGTCCATCAAGAGTTGTTTCCCTTTCTAACAAAATGTTTTTCTCCTCTATTTCCCCCTGCTATATCCAATTTATGCTTCTCATGTATTCCTGCGTGGAGCCACATGGGAGCCAACTACTATTGGTGTTCTGATGCTAAAATCGGACACAGGAATCACATTATTTACCTTCTTCCATTACAACTGTGTATGCAGATAAAACAAATATTTACTGAATGCACATCCATGGATTATTGTCAGTAGAAGATTAAAAGCCTGCTCTGAATCTCTGCTTAGATGTGCAGGGAATAATAAGATCAAATACTGGCAATCTTCACTCCATTTCTACACATCAAACGAGAACCTAGGCCACAAGCTAATACTCTAGCAAAAGTGATCGCAGATAATACCTGTATGGGATCTCAATAATACTTGCCTGCATCCATTTGTCAAAGATATTCACGTTTTAACTACCCTGAACATTTTATGATCCCTACTACATATTTACTCAGGCCCAATACATTAATTTAGCCAATTATGAAATGAGATCTTGCATACCGATGTTATAGGATGAATATCATGTCTTACTTATCTGTGAAACGTATTCCCATTTAAGGTATAAATTTCTCCCCATGTTGCAAGGTACTTTTCAAGACCGTCAGTTAATGATAAATCTGCTAAACTCTGAAAATCCTGATATGATCCATGCTGTTTCTATATTCTTAAAACATGTCTTTATAATGGACCTTGATGTCTAAATTACTGAATAAAAAGTCTGTCTGTCTGTCTGTCTGGCTGGCTATACAAACTAAACCATTATGATGATGTCAGGCTATTGTTGCTGCAGCTGATTCCAGCCCATGAAGTCACTCAACATTCTGTACATGTTACACAAGTAAAATTGATGCAACTATTAGTCAGCATGAAAAATCATAGAGAAATTGTATATCAACCATAACATGGTTTAAACAGAGATTGTTCATTCTAGGAATGATAAAATACATTTTCATTCTTGATGAAATACATTGACACCAAAAAGCACATACTTTAATCATTAAAACAAGGGGTGGTGGGGCAGTCTTATGGTTAAAGCATTCGCTCATCTTGCCAAAGTCCCGGGTTTCATTCCCCACTTTGGTACAATGTGTGAAGCCCATTTCTGGTGCCCCCACACTAAGGTAAATCCTGGAATATTGCTAAAACAGTGAAAAAACACACTCACACTCACAATTTACATCCTACCGAATGTAATAAATATTAAGTCACTGTCTTGACACTGTACACCCCTGAAGACAAGGCAGTAGCTAGTTCATGTATTTTGCACATCATGACTGAAATAGGATATTTGTATCCCCCACATGTAACAACCTATGTAAACAGTTCTATAAGTAGCGCAGTAAGCAAACATCTTAAATACTGTTCCCTATCACTACAGGTGCTGCAGTGTGACAGGGAGCTCCTACTGCAGGGATATACTACTGTGTCAGGGAACTGCTGCATGGTCTGAACTACGCCATGTGGCAAAAGTCAGATATCCAGATGAAGCCTAAAATGTTCTTTTTACACGGCTGTCAGAACTAGGTGGCTTGGGAGTCACCACAGCTACACAATAGTTTCGTTACTGTAAGCTTAACACATTAGTGGTCGGCCTTTTGAGTCTTCAGTATTTCAGTTATATGTGTCAGACTAGCGGCCTATGACTTTTTTTCCTGTTAACCTGACTATATCTCTGTTATTGGAGTATTACTAGACTAACATCTAGTCTCTGAAATGAACATATCGTACAGAAAAAAAAATATTTGTTAAATTATCTTAATAAAACTTTAATAAAAGGAGCCCAGAGGCTCTCTTCATCCTGATACTGCAGAAATCTAGACTTGCCAAACATTATAGACTTGCACGGGCGAATTCTTTGAATTATTTTAAATATTTGTATCTGTAAGACCTGTAGTCCACACTGAGTTAAGGCAGTAAATTTTAATGGTTCTATCACCATGTGAGTGGGTGCATCATGACTTCAGTTACCATAGACTCAATACTTTTTTAAATTTTTGTACCACCTGAGGCAGGGAAAGATGAAAAAGCCTCGCTTAAAGAAATATTGCCTACGTCAAAGGTTTCCTCCAACTGCTTCAGTTAATGGCTTCATGAGTCGGGTTAAATGTAAGCAAAAGAGACAGTACAATAAAAATATGTAAATATAACACAAGAATTTCTCATTCGCCTGAAGCATACCTTAAAATAGGCCGATTGCTTAGGGCAAGTCCCTACATCTAATATTCTCCCCGTATTATACACCTGATCAGGCAAATGCTTAGAAAATTGAGTTCTTGGCTCGCTGACTGAAAGAGGTCATATTTTCAAAGTAGGCACTTTCCAGCAAGTTAATTACCCTCCTGACTGGAGGAACACTCTTCTATAGACATGTACACTCAACATACGACACTATGGCCGCTGTGTGGGGCAAAGGGTCGGCACCAACACAAACACCCCTTTAATGGTTTCTTGAACAAGTGTAACAATAAACATTTAAGAGTCATTTCGACCACATCAATCAAGATGGAGTGAATATGAAAAGTCTCAAGCAATGTTATCATACTTCCATGTCAGTATGATGAGATCTGATTGGTCCATGTGATCTGGATAAAATACTATGTATCCCACCTCGGAGGGAAATAAATTTCTCAGCGGGATAATATATCACTTATACTCCGCCACCAACATGTCATGCTGCACGTGGATTTCTGAAAGGCATAATAAATCCCTTATACACCATGTACACATGCTTTTTCAGAGTCAATGAAAGTCACGTGACATAGCACAAGTTCACCTCAGTTCAATCGAACAGCTGTTTTCTATCAATTTTGAATTTGCTTTAATTCTTTTACAATGTCCTACTCAAACATGTCAATAAGATAAATTCGTTGTAGCAGTATCACTCAAAGATACATGTGCTTTTATGCATCCCTCGTTAGGTTTTACACCGCTCATCTCCGGCTCGTGGTATAAAACCTAACATGGGAGGCATATTACCCCATGTACCCCTCGTGATACCACTACAACTTATATTGGAAACAACACGACGAAAGTCGAGGGATGTTGTAATACGCCTGATGGTAAAAATGAAAGAATTAAGGGTATCTTGTTTAAAATACTATAGGAGCAAACTCAAGGAGCCAATAACCCTGTTAATTTTAAACACCACCTAAAAGTATAAGGAAGATAATTTATGGATGTCAACTTCTTTATTATGAGTTGACATCCATAAATTCTCTTCCTTATGTGTATCACTTCTAAATGCCTTTCAAAGACTATCACAGTATGCTATAAACTTGCGTCATGAACCAAAGGTTCTGGGTTGTTCAAAACATGGATTTCTTGTACAAT